CTCTCTCTCTGTCCTCTCTCTCTCTCTCTGTCCTCTCTCTCTCTCTCTGTCCTCTCTCTCTCTCTCTGTCCTCTCTCTCTCTCTCTGTCCTCTCTCTCTCTCTCTCTCTCTCTCTCTCTCTCTCTCTCTCTCTCTCTCTCTCTCTCTCTCTCTCTCTCTCTCTCTCTCTCTCTCTCTCTCTCTCTCTCTCTCTCTCTCTCTCTCTCTCTCTCTCTCTCTTTCTCTCTTTCCCTTTCCCTTTCCCTCTTCCTTTCACCTCACCTCTCTCTCTCTCTCTCTCTCTCTCTCTCTCTCTCTCTCTCTCTCTCTCTCTCTCTCTCTCTCTCTCTCTCTCTCTCTCTCTCTCTCTCTCTCTCTCACTCTCTCACTCTCTCCCTCTCTCCCTCTCTCCCTCTCTCCCTCTCTCCCTCTCTCCCTCTCTCCCTCTCTCCCTCCCTCCTTCCCTTTCTTACCTCCTTCCCTCCCTTCCTCCCTCTCTCCCTTCCTCCCTCTCTCCCTCCCTCCCTCCCTTCCTCCCTCTATTACTCCTGCTCTTACCCTCCCTCTTTTCCCTCTCCATTATTTTCCCGGCTCCTGCCCTCCTTCCCTCCCTCTCTACCTCCGTTCCTTACTTTCGCTTGCCTTTCCTCCTTAACCCCTCTCCCTCTCATCTCGGCACTCCTCTAGTTTATGTTTTGAAGCCTTCATCACCCGCGTGTTTGGCCAGTGTGATTTATACAGTGATAAGTTGGAAAGACTGGCCGTCAGCGGGTCTCGTTAATGTTTTTGTCGGGTGTTTTTGAAGATGAAAACCGTTGAAAATCTGAGGTCTTGTGATTCATTAGCGTCGTCATTCCCTGTAATGCAATTAGGGAGAGCATGGATCACGTACATGCTCGAGGCAGTGGGGCTGAGGACGGTAAGAAGGAAGTGCTTGTTCTCACACACACGTGAGTCGGAATATTTCAGACTGGACTCGTCGCTTGGTGCCTTTCGTGCACGCAGTAGAAATAGGAGTGACAACAGACGCCCACGGTGGGAGTTGGGTTGCATATATATCATAGACGGGCACTGACTTTAGATCCACATAGAGGAGTGCCACACAGAAGGGTGTGCAAGGCTGGAGTGACCGGCTTTACTTGCTTCACTCCGGTATTGATCCTCTGTCATGCAGACATCCCAGTTCCAGCCCTCTGCTGCTGCTTTGTTCTGCCTTCTCCACGTGTTCTGCTTCCTTTCCTTTTCCCTTGTTTAACTTTCTTGTTACTTCGTTCTCCACCGCCCCCATACTCCACTGTGACTACCTTTTCTGCTTCTCTCCTCGGGGCGTGAAATTGGCCCCGGGTTAAAGGAGGAAAGTGGTCCTAAGAGTGTGTGAGAGAGAAAGATAGGGAGAGAGAGAGTGAGAGTGAGAGTGAGAGTGATAATGAGTGAGTGGTGAGAAAGAGAGAGAGAGAGAGAGAGAGAGAGAGAGAGAGAGAGAGAATGGGCGGAATAGCGAAAAAAGAATATGATAGGGAAAGGGAAGGATAACATAAAAGAACGAGTATTGTTTTAATGCTGTCTTGAAGGCGGTAAAATGTAACGAAAATCCATCACAGACCTCCCTTCTCCTGTAGCTCTCGACCAATGGCACTCCCACGGGCTAGGACACTTACCACCATTTTTTCCGTATTGTAGATATGTTAACCATCACTGCTGAGAGAGAGGGGGGGGGGGCAGAGAAACAGTAAATTTATTTTTATGTTTGCAGCTGTGTGTCAATATTGATAAGGCTAAGGAAAAGAATAACGAGAGACTGTGAGGATAACTTTACCACGACGTTGTACGTATTGAATTTAAAGTACAGTTTTATTACCTCAGGGATGCAAAACTGTGGAGCAGAGAGACGCTCTGTACTCTCACCCTTCTGATATTTTTTTCCATGTTTACCTCTCTCGCTTCCATCTCCGCAAAACAAGTGAGCATCGCGCAGTGACGTCATTTCTGGAAATAGAAATACATCAACATTAAGAAGAAAATAAAAGGAAGGAGAAATTGGGAGACTACGACATTTATAGAGGAGGAATGAGGAGGCTCTGAGACGTCTTCTCCATGTTTATAATGGACACATATTATCGACCGCATTACCTGAGGCGGTCATTCGATTCTTCAGAATAAAGATGCATCACCCATGCTAGGAGAACAGCATAGAGTGAACCTACCATGGATAGAGAGGCGGGGGCAATACGGGGATCAGGTCACTAGAAATGCTCAAACAAAAGGACACCAGTAAACAAGCAGAAAAGCATGTAAGCAAGATACAAATTAGGTAGTCGTAGGGCAAACCGGCAAATATGTTGCGCAAACAGCGTTATACCCGAACGAAGCCGCGGCGCTTATACGTGTGACCTTAGCGTGGCAAAGTACAGAGTTATCCTCTTGCCATAATGCAGAGCGTGACAACAAGGTGTGTTTTTTACTCCTTCTTGAGCGTTTGGTCGATACTCTTATGCCATTCTTACCTAACATCGCCCCAAAGGCCCGCCTCTGTTATTGCGGGTGTTGTAAATTCTGATTACATTGTTTTCAAAAGAATATTTTTGTTCCGTCCATTTAGGACCTGATTCCTGCCAAGCAGAGACCCGATATATTTAATAAATTTCTTCATTTTCCTTGAAATTTCGTTTAGCTACGTAAATGCAGGAGAAGTGAACATAACTGGAGAGGTCGACATGGGGATGAAGATAATCAACAAAATCTAGATGGTCGGGATGTCGCCATGCACGGATGAAGGGGCGGCCAGGAAGCGCTTGTGGCTGGGCTCTAGAAGGCTGGAGATGGAGACTTTGGTGTAAGGTCTGTGTGGCCAAGCAGACGACCTACATTTATAGTAGGATAAACAGCGCCGCGGCTTTAAAAAACAGGTTAATGGTGTTCCTCGAAGAGTATAATCTCCGGGCGAAGGCGGGTCCTGCACGGCATGTGTGTCCTTGAAGCGCCGCACGACTGTAAACTTATTTTATGTGTCTCCTTGACCGCTGGGGGGCCTTTCTGAGAGAGACTGGGTCGCTGAAGGACACTGCCACTGGTGAGTCATAAAGGGAAGGAACGGCGAGGAAGTAGTTCACGGATGAATTGGAAAAAATAGGAACAGAATTACATGGGACACTAAAGAGCCGGAATGCTTTCAGACATCTGGGACAGAAGTTGACGCCGGTGGTGCCTGCAGTTTAAAGCCATGAAATTTGTTGCGCGATGAAAATTACTTATATAATTTCCAATACGGAAAGTGCTGAAAGACATGCAATGAAAAACTCAAGGCATAAATCCTCGGCTTCACATCCGTCTCCGCCCACACCAAAGCTTCACCTCCAGCGCCACCTGCAGAGCGGAGAATGCGGTGCAGAATCCGACCAACCATCGACCATAGAAAAATGTCCTACAGCTCGGCCCAGCCCATAGGGACGGCACTTCCCCTCGCAACTCCGGGATCAATACTGCAAAATCAATAGTTATGGGTGTGTGTGTTTTGTGGCCGTGTTTTTTCTTGTAGTTGCATTTGTTCGTTCATATATGAATGTGA